CTGTTTGTACAGCCTACAGTGCTTAAGCAACCAGAAAAATCAGTTGTTCTCTTACAGCAAGACCAACTGCTCAATGCATCATAAAAGACTAGAACACCTGGTTGGTATGTGCAAGCATGTGCCTGAGAGGATCTGCAGAATTGTACAGTGATTCTTAGTCCCCTGTGTAAACTTGAAATAGTATTTTTAAATATAAATGTTTAAGCTTTACTACAGTAGAACATATAATTGTCAGATGCTTTCACCTATTTGTAGAAACACTATGAATGTGAATCACCAAATGCTGATATATTGTTAGCTCAGATAATTTCAAACACTAATAGTGAGATTTTTCCAAAATGCTCAACATCCTGTGAAGTTCTGACCATATCAAAGTATAAGTTGTTACTTGCATCCCTGAAAAATTTGGTGTTTACTAAATCTATTCAAAAAGTACTTTTATGTGTTAAAAAAGTTAATTTCTAGGCTCTAGTAATTATCAACAAGTTTTCCCACAGATGGGGCATTGAAGTCATGTGCGACATGGGTCAGTTTGTTCTGTGGCATGTTCTTGAGCAGGAATTAGTAAACGACAGCCCGTTGAACAAACTAATATTTTTGTATAGTTTATTAGCTTGAAATGGCTTTTATATTTTCACTTATAAAAAAAGAGAAAAAATTTTTATGCAACAAAGATGGTTACCACTTTTATAGAAAAATTTCCAACCCCTATTTTCTTGAGCATTGCAGATTGCCTGCTATCCCTAGCTCCTGCTCACTAGGTGATTACAGCACTCCAGTCACTGGGAAACCAAACATCACCACTAACATTTCTTACGTGATACTACCTCATTGAGAATCACTACCCTAGTTTATTAGTTTTCAAGTTTTTATTCCTCTGTGGCACACTTAACAGATAATTCATGCATAATATATTTCCATGCAGAGTTCCTATGTTTGTAACTTTATTTTTTTATTTTCACTCAAAGAATCAACTAAAACGAGAAAGGAAATTATTAATACAAGGATGCCTTGAAAATCCTCTAACTTAAGAAAATAAATCTTTACTACATTGTACTACTACTAACATAGTACTTAAAACTTATCTCATACTTCATAATAGAATGCTTCAAACATCCCAGCTGATAATCACTGCAGCAGGTAATAGCCAGCCATGGATTAGCTTTTCTTTTAATCATTTTGTTTGTTTTTGAGACTGGGTCTCACTATGTAGCTCAGGCTGGCCTTGAACTTGCTATGTAGACCAGACTGATTTCAAACTTGTGATCCTCCAGCCATGGGATAGCTTTGAAAGTGGCAGAATGCTATAGACATTTTAGTGAAATCTCTTGATGGTGGTGTAGAATGTAGACATGAGGTTATCAAGCTTAAATATATATTTTTTTGATGGTGGTATTGGGGTTTGATCACAGGGCTTCATGCTTGCTAGTCAGGTGCTTTACCACTTGACTCACATCTTTAGTTTGTGTCAAAGCTTAATTTAGGTTCAAGATTATGAGGGCCTCTACTAGGTAGTAGGGACCGAACAGAAGTGATATATTATTAGAAAATTACTTCACTAGAAATAATTTCCATGTAAATTTTAGAGCTCAGTAATCGAAAGGTTATAGACATTATATTTTATAGTGCTTATTTGTTGCCCATTATCACTTGGGGAGCTTTTAAATACTACCAATGCCTGGGCACCGGACAAAATTTCTAGAGACCAGAATTTCTGGGATAACATCAGGGCATTGATATTTGTACCTTACAATTCTAATGTTACAATGTTGAGAAGTACTAATTTAAGTTGTAGAAGAGGTAAAAATAAGGATGAGTACCAGGCAGGCCATCAGTTCAGATGGAGGTAGCATGTTCTGAACAGTGTCTGTCATGGTAGCTATTCAGATATTTCTCATTTAAATGAAAATTGATAGCTTTGAACTTAACCCAAAATCTCTTCCTCCTTTAATTCCCAGTTGTGTTAAATTTGGATAAATAGACCCGAGTTCAAGATAATGACTGGAGGCCAGGCATGGTGGCTTACACCTGTAATCTCAGCTACCTGGTAGGCAGAAATCAGGAGGATTGTGGATTGAGGTCAACCTGGGCAAAAAAAGTTAGCGAGACTCCATCTTCATGAAAAAGCTGAGTGTGATGGTGTGTTCCTGTCATCCCAGCCATGCAGGAGGGTTAAGTAGAAAGGTTGTAGTTCAGGCTGGCCCCAGACAAAAAACATGAAACTCTACCTGAAAAAACAACTAAAGCGAAAAGGGGTTGGAGGGCATGGCTCAAGTGCTTAGCAAGCATGAGGTCCTGAGTTCAAACCCTATTATCACCTAAAAAGAAAGAAAGAAAAAAAGGTAAAACTGGATCCAAACCAAAATAACTTCTGTTGCAGGTGAAATTATATCAGATATCTTTTGATATGATTTGAGGAAAAGAATAATGCAAATCACCTGAGTTGTTTCATGATATTGTGAAGCAAGTTGCAGTAGAAATAATTTAACTATAGTGTACTACACAAAGTAATATTTCTATTGAGTGTCATAGCAAGAGATTTTGGTTCCTACTATCTGGTAAATAGGAAATACTCAGTAAAGGCTTATTGAATTGTAACATGAAACATCCTTAATCTACCAGAAAATTGCAAGGTTTACCATATAATTTTTTGTATTAATGGAGAAATGAAAATCAGCTTGTCTTAGCTGTCTTAGCCCCAGTCCCACTTCCTGTAGCTGTACTCTGTGTACATTGCCAGCCTTTATGTTCCTCTGTTCCTACTGCTGCCACCTATTATTTAGTCGGTATTCTTAGTTCCAAATGATAGGACTTTGATTTAAATTATCATGAACAGTAAATGGAAGTTTTTTGGTGCATGTAGGTGGGAAGGATAGCATCCAGAATTGAAGGAAGGTCTTTAGGAGTCAAGGCCTTGGAGATTATAGAACAGAATACAGTCTCATCTCTGTTGGGCTTCATTTGTTGTTGTTGTTATTATTATTATTATTATTATTATTATTACAATCAGGCTTTTGCCAAAAGGTTAAAGAGCTCCAGCCTCACATCTTTCTGGTACCATGATTCCAAAAGGCAAAACCATTTGTCCTCTTGCTCTAAATTGATTTGCCCCAATCAGCATGCCAAGAGTAAGGAAGTACTCTGATTTGTCTGGTTTGGAGCTCATTTTACCCCCATGGCCAGGAGAGGGGGCGGGGGGGGGGACACGGGGACATATGAAAGAAAAAACAAGTAAAAGCTTGTCCTCCTCAATCATTAACTTTTTTTTTTTTTTTTGATGGTACTGGGGTTTGAACTCAGAGCCTCCACTTGCTGGGGGGGGGAGGGGAGTGGAGATGGGGGTGGGGAAGGACCCTGCCCAAATCATTACCTGTTTCTGTCCTCTCCCAGGCTCTGTGATTTCCTACTTTATTCCAGCTACTTAGTGTTCTTAGATACAGCTTTGCCTCATGATTGTCAGTTACTTAGCCTTTGGTGGTTCCTTATTGCCCATGTGTATAAGTATTCAAACTTCCAGCTTTGGTACATTATAATTTGACCCCATACTACCATCTCAATTTGATCTCTGTATTCCTATTCATTGTTAAACTGAACTAGTTGGCTGTCTAAGTTCCAATAACACATACGTCCCTCATCGGAACAGCCAACGCTTAGATAAGAAGTTGGTGGTGATACTCTTCATATTATTACTTAAATGAGTCAGAGTCTCCGAAGGCCAGTAAATGAAACATTATAGTTAATCCTTAGGTTCTGGCATCTCTGTATCATCGCCGGCAGAATGTATCAGTTTAGATATTACCATTGGTAGTAATGTAGAGTCTACTTCTTTATGTATTCACTTACAACAACTAATCAGAGAGAAACATGGCCTAACAGGAGACTTTGATTTTTGAGCTTTTGGGGAAATCAACTGGCTTATTTGTACTTCAATTTCCATTGCTATAAATTGAGAGTAAAAAGAAGGAAGAGTCAGGCGATGGTCCAAGCCTGTAGTCCTAGCTAATCAAGTGGCAGAGATTGAAAGGATCAAGGCCAGCCCCAGGCAAAAATTTCCTGAGACCCCATTTCAACCAGTGGCTGGGCATTGTACCTGTCATCCCAGCTACATGGGGAAAAATAAATAAGAGGATCTTTGTCCTCAAGAGTGGCTGAAGTGTCAAAGTGCCTGACCAGTAAGCTCAAGGCCCTGAGTTCAATCCCCAACTACTGCCAAAAAAAAAAAAAAAAAAAAAAGAAAGATAAAGAAAAATACTGGGCATGGTGGCACATGCCTGAAATTCCATATTTGGGAGGTTGAGGCAGAAGGATCATGAATTTGAAGCCAATCTAGGCAACACAGTGAGACTATTAATAATAGTCTTTGAAAAATGAACTATATGAGTCTCAACTGAGGTAATACAAGTGAAAATGCTTTGAAATATTAAAGAGTACTGTGCAAATTTAAAGCATTTTATTATACATGAGTCTATATCTAGGTTCTGTGTTTTCTTGGATACTTGAATGGAGATCCAGTTTCAATGGCAATTAAGTTTTGAAAATGTAAGGAAAAGTAAAGTATATATATATGTATGTAAAACATCAGAGTAGTATTTTGAATGAGCTGTTTGACTGAAGATAGGCTGAAAAGCTAAGCATTCACTTAACAAAATTTATTTAGTATTTCTTATGGACAAGGCAATTTGTTTCATTATTTAAAATAATTTTCATTTTTGTTTTATCACTATGAAACTGGATATTTAAGTTAGATTCTAGTTATCAATACAGAATTTGAGTGAAACGGAATTTTTAACAGTAGTTTTTCTGATACTTGATATTTGAAAAGGGAGTATTTTTTCATTCAAACTGTAATCATAGTCATTTTCATTCCTCTTGTTTGATGGCCCTTTTAAAAAGCATATTCAGTTATTAAGATCACTCAGAACATGCTCTGTTGTTAAGAAGTGTTTCTAGTTATCTGCCACATTCAAATTTATTGCTTTTTTCCTGTCACTTTTTATTAGTCAATTGCATCTGCAGACATGGATTTCAACCAGCTGGAGGCATTCTTGACTGCTCAGACCAAAAAGCAAGGTGGGATCACATCTGACCAAGCTACTGTCATTTCCAAATTCTGGAAGAGCCACAAGACGCAAATCCGAGAGAGCCTCATGAACCAGAGCCGTTGGGACAATGGACTTCGGGCCCTGACCTGGAGAGTGGATGGCAAGTCTCAATCAAGGCACTCAGCTCAAATACACACCCCTGTTGCCATAATTGAGCTGGAATTTGGGAAAAATGGACAGGTGAGTTCAACTTCAATCAATTTCTCTTTGTAAACTATATTTCTATTACATACTAGCCTGTGCATTTGACTTTTTATTTAACAATCTTCTTTGCAAAGATAATAAGAATAATAGGAAAAGGCCCTGTTCCTAGAATCCCTTTGTAGAGGTAGAATCATCTGAAATTGAGATACTTCCAATTATGGACAGAGTCTAGAAACCACCAGGTTCCTTGTAGTCGTGTTAACATGGAATTGGTCAATAAGGTGATTGTAGAGTTGGCTCCTACTGCATTTTGGTTAGATCTCAGAATTCTTGGCATTTGGTCAGAATGTCTAAGGCAATGATATAGGTATTAAATAAAAAACAAGATTAAATAAAGAACAAGAATAAACAACACAGAACAAGCTGTCTTATCCAATTATGTTTATAGTCAGTCAGGTATAGGAGGCAGTGTATTTTAATCGCATTAATGTATTGTTTCTTAAGACTTGAGTGTGCTGTACTCTTTCTGAGTTCACAAATAATTCTCAATTTGATCTTGATTATTTACAAAGCAATGTTGCTTTTCTTTGCTGTTTCCACAGTCACTATAGCAGGCAATTTTAGTCTGCATGGCTTTTCTTGAAGTTGTTAAGTTTGTGCTTCAGATGTCTGCCAAATCAGACTTTTAATGGTCTGGCTTTGAGAGGGGGAGAGACTGGTTATTAGAAAGAAAATACACAGATCACTGAATTAGCTAATTATATTTATTTTCAGATAAATAAATAAATATTTCTATTACATCCACTAATAGGAATTTATTTCTTTTCTTCTTAATGATAAGAGTATTTTTCTTACTGTTAAGTTTTCTCACATGTTCTCTTTCGTTTCTTTGGATCTTTTCAATGTTTTTAATTCCTTTAAATTTTTATTTAAAAGATAATTCATTGAAAGTTCCTTTAAAAAGTAAACTTAAACAGTGATAACTGCGGTAATGAACTTTATCTTAAAGTCCATTTTACAGTCATTATGTTATATGGCACATATGTGTACACATGCCCATTTATTTATTTATTTATTTATTATTCATATGTGCATACAATGCTTGGGTCATTTCTCCCCCCTGCCCCCACCCCCTCCCTCTCCCCCCGACCCCCTCGATACCCGGCAGAAACTATTTTGCCTTTATCTTTAAGCAATAATAGGAAGGAACAAGGGTTTTTGCTAGTTGAGATAAGGATAGCTATACAGGGAGTTGATTCACATTAGTTTCCTGTGCATGTGTGTTACCTTCTAGGTTAATTCTTCTTGATCTAACCTTTTCTCTAGTTCCTGGTCCCCTTCTCCTATTGGCTTCAGTTGCTTTTAAGGTATCTGCTTTAGTTTCTCTGCGTTGAGGGCAACAAATGCTAACTAATTTTTTAGGTGTCTTATCTATCCTCATATCTCCTTTGTGTGCTCTCGCTTTTATCAACACATGCCCATTTATACACTGTATTATTCCTAAACCAAAAATATGACATATTAGAAAAGTATAATAAGTACACTTGGATACTTTGTTTCACCAGCCATTTATATAGGCTGTTCACTTTTTAATTTGATAATTGTGAGTGTAATCATTGTCAGTGTTCATGGGGAGCTTAGTTCCAGGACACCCTCTACCATCTGCACAAGTACCAAGGTCCATGGATGCTCAAGTTCCTTATATAAAGTGGTATGATATTTACATGTAACCTACACACATCCTTCTGTATATTTTAAATCATTCCTAGATTTATAATACCCAATGCAATGTTAATTCTGCATAAGTCATAGTTATACTGTATCATTAGGGAATTATGACAAGATAAATTTGGTACATGTGAATATAGATGCCATTTTTTTTGAGTTTTATTAAAAATATTTTTTGGCAATACTGGAGGTTGAACTTGGAGCTTTGTACCTGGTGTTCTACTGCTTGAGCTATACTTCCTGCCCTTTTATTTGCTGTGGTTATTTTGGAATTGGGGGGGATCTTGCTTTTTGCCTGGGTTAGCCTGGACCGCAAGCTTCTTGATGTTCTGAGATGATAAGCACATGCCACCATGCCCAGCTCTTTTTCACTGAGATGGGGTCTTCAAAATTTTTTTGCCTGTGTTTGTCTGGGCCACAACCTCCTGATCTCAGCCTCCTGTATAGCTGTGATGACAGGTGCACACTACCATGCCGAGCTATTGGTTGAGTTTGGGTTTTTTTTTCTGGGCTGGCCTCAAACTGCGATCCTCCTGAACTCAGCCTCCCAAGTAGCTAGTATTACAGGTGTGAGCCGGCTTGGGTCTTGCGAGCTTTTTACCCAGGCTGGCCTTGAACTGCCATCCTCTTAATCTCTGCCTCTCAAGTAGATGGGATTATAGGTGTGAGCCATCATACCCAGCTTGAATATTTTCAATCTGTGATTGGTTGAGTCCTCAGATGTGGAACTTGTTGAGGACCCACTATATTTCATGTTGTCTTTAAGTATTTATGTTTGAACAAAAATATAAAAGCACACATATCTATTTCAAGACTCATAGTAAATTATTATAGTGTTTCTTTAACCTGACTTTTCCTAGTATTTCTTGAACTGGGGTTATAATGTGCCTTTTGATTTTTGTAACTTGCAAAACATACTCTAAATGACCATGTAGACCATACTCTACATGACCAATTTGAATAAGTAGGTATTCAATGGAGAAAACTATTGAATAGAGGAAACCTTTTCACTATCACAATAGAGAAAAAGTGATAGTGAAAGAAAAGTGTGAATTTAAAGTGATCATTTTATTTTAAAAGAATTAAAAGCAGGATTATTGAGGGCTGGTGTAGTGGTTCAAGTGGTAGAGTGCCTGCCTAGCAAGTGTGAGGCCCTAAGTTCAAACCCCAGTATCGTAAAAAAAAAAATCCCTCAAAACCTAGGATTATTGAGTACTTGATAATTTCCAGTTAAACAATTGATATTTTGTGGTATGTTTTATGTGAGAATTGTATAATAAGTAATATTTTTCCGGTGCTGAAGATTAGACTGTTTTGCTATTAATATATACTTATTTTTTTCTCAATCATTTATTTGTTTAAAAATTTATATAATGTTTTTGTATCTATTTTGGTTTAAAAATAGCCTTTGAGATGTTAGTTTACTTGATGAATGAGCAGCATTGACATTGCATTCTCTTTGAAATACTTGTCTTTCAGGATACTACATTTGCCTGGTTTTCCTTCTAGCTTTCTAGCTTACCCTTTTATTTATTTATTTATTTTTATTTTTAAATCTCTTTTGTTGGTTCCTTCTTATCTCCCTAAACTCCTTGGGCCAGTCCTTAGTCTTCTTTTTTCATTTCCTTAACTCACTCCCTAGGTGATCTCACTGAGCTCCATGGATTTGGGGAACATCTATATGCTGCTGACTCCCAAGTTTATATCTCCAAACTGAATTCTCCCTTAAACTATATATAATTTATATGACATGCCAAAAATTGAATGTGTTCCAAACTGAGATTACAATGATGTATTTTACTTCCTACGCCTGTTTCTCCCATATTTCCCTCATCTCAGTTAGTGGTACCTCTATTCTTCCAATTTATATCATTACCCAATCAATCAACCAGTCTCTCTCTCTCCTACATCCAATCCATCACCAAATCTTGGTGGGTCTATTTAAAAGTCTATTTGAAAGTAGTAGGGGGAGGGAATTCCAAGATGGCGGCTAGAGGGAGGAAGCAAAAAGCGTGCTAAAGTAAAATCTTGGAGAGATGCTGGAGATACACCTTCCAGGAAAAACCACCAAGAAGAGGCAAAACTGACTCCTTCACACCTCCAGCCTGCACAGAGCATCTCCACTTCACATTAAAGGGAGAAAACAGGAGAGATCCCACACCGCCTCCAGACATCAGCACTCAGATGGCTTGGGAAGATGCGTGGACCACAAAGTGAGCTAAGTGGTACACGGTACCCCCACAGACAACCCTGGGCCAGATCAGCATAGCCCCCTGGACAGACCAACCCCCACCCAGGAACAAAAGAAAAACTGAATAATAAGCAATAACAACAAAAAAAGACACATACCAAAGAGGGCGGGGTGCTCTTAGTGCCGAAGAGCAGGGAGGCGAATCCCTCACGGAACTGTAAATAAGCCAGCTGGAGAAGGCAGGAGCGGCAGCACACGCCCATCAACCAGGAGTGGAAAACATGCCAGCCTGAGAAAGCTGGTGCAGTGTCACCTCACCCAGTGTGCTTGGAAAGGGGAAAGCTTGTAGCAGCGGCTTAGGCACTGGAGAACAGTGAGTAAAAAAGCCTGCGGGGCTAGATGAGTGTTAAGCTCACTTCTGAGATCTGCATAAATAAAGTCTCCAGCAATAGCAGGCTGACAGCAGCGGGCAGGAAAGCCACAGCCGCAGATAGCCATTCACAGAACTGTCTCCAGACTCTTTTTTTTCTCTCTCTACCTTTGATGAGACAACAACCGAACTACACCTGCATGCTGAAAAACTTACTGAAACTGTATTGCATTTGAACTTGGGACACTTTGTAGGGTTTTTTTTTGTTTTGTTTTGTGCAGTTTTGTTTTATTTTGGTTTTTCCAGTCTTTTTCCCCTTTGATGAGACAACCACAGAACTACTTCTGAAGGACCATCTCCAGGATTGGAGACTGAGGGACAAACACCAAAATTATTAATACTGAAACTTTATTGCATTTGAACTTGGAGATTATTTTTTTAAATTATTTGTTTTATTTATAATTTTTATTTATTTATTTATTTTTATTTTATACATACATATTTTTTCATTTATTTATTTATTTATTTATTTATTTATTTATTTATTAATCCTCTCTCTGTCTCTCTAATGCCTGTTCAGCTTACAGTTGATTAGTACACTATCTCTCCCTGTTTATATCTTTGAAACTTTTTTTGTTTGTTTCTTTGTTTTTTTTTTCTACTTGTTTGTTTTCCCCTTTTCCTTTAACTTCATTTTCCATCTCCTCTCACCCTTCCATTCTAAATATCACCAGTGCTATTATAACA